ACTTCCCATGTTGGGCATCCAGAGCATCCAGCTCTGCCTTGGACAGATGGTAGACGATGCCAGCCCCATATGAGTCTCCAACCACATTAACTGAGGTACGGAAACGATCCCTGAGTAGAAAAACAGATGAAAGGCTCTGTTCAGCAATCACATACATTTCCTCACCTTAGGATCATCCTCATAGTAGGATCATCTAAAATATGACAGTATTCAGGGAATGCTTTCATTTAACATTTAAAAGTCCCAATCTGGATCAAATAGGTCTAGAATCAGAATACTCACAGAAGCCAGTCAACAGCCACCAGCAGACTGATATCTTGAGTAGGAAGTCCAACGGCTGTCAGAATGAGTAACATGGTGACCAGTCCAGCACTGGGAATACTCGCTGCCCCAACACTGGCAAGTGTTGCTGTAAGACTAAATGATGGGAATGTAAGCACTTTAGTTTCATTCATCTTTACACATAAAGCATTTACTAGAAAACCGTGTCCAGAATAGGGATGTAATGGTATGAACATTTCTTATGACGATTATAGTGACCAAAATTATCACGGTTATCAGTATTATCACGGTATTGTTAAAATGTGCTGGAGATGTACAAAAAGTATCAACACATAAATCACTTCACCAAGTTTTATATTTAAAATCAACAAACAACAAATAAAATGACTTTTTTGTTTGCATAATCACTAAAACAATAACATTACCAATGATGTTCGGATTTTAAATGACAACTTGACTGACAACAGTTTAAGAGCGTGTTGAAATATCTAATGTAAATGTTCAAATAAAGCTTTGAAAAAGTTTAATAAAAAGGTAAACCTCATATTTCAGCCTTTAAATAAAGAAAAGATATGTCAAAATGATAATTGATTAATACATGATTATATGTATTTTATTTGCTCCATAAATAATTCTAGATAGCTTATCTGAATTGTTTAAATGTGTAGAATCCACATAAGTTTGTTTTTCATCAACCGTTCAAAATTTACAGCAGGGCATGGAAATTCGGTCCGTTTTTGACCAGACAGAAACTGCACACAGGCTGAATGTAAATATAAGTCTCTGAAAATCCACTCGCTGACAGCAGGTGGCGCTTATGGAAAAGCTGAATTAGAGCTATTTCCCGTAAACAAAGCAGCATTGCGATTAAGAACATTTCTTTAGGTATTACATGGAGCGAAGATGAAAACAAAATGCCATTGAATCATTTCTGAAGACAGTCAGAACCTTCAGAGGTGCATTCATATAATTAATTAATTCATATATTCATTTCTATAATTCCCTTTGCACTCTTTAAAACCTCCCAGCTTTTCCGCCCTGTTTTCACTCAAAACGAAACTCCTCTGCATGCTGTGCGCACGTGAGACTGTTACTGAAAAATGTGCTTTATGCTGGACAGTATTTATTTAT